ATATATTATATTATATATATGGTTATATCAATAATAAATCTTTCCTTAATTGAGGTTCTGAATGGTTAATTATGATTATTTTCCTTTCTTAATTGATTTTTTTTTGTAATTAAAATAAATGATCATTTTTAATAATATTTCTTTTTTAAATGGGCTTTTTGCAATAAATTTTTTAATTGCAATTTTAATTTTGATCCCAATGGCTAATTTAAATGAGATTTTTTTCTTTTCTTAATTGATGCTTTTTCTAATTAAACTATTAAATAATAAAAATTGTTGATGTTGTTTTTATTAATGGGCATTTTGCAATAATTTTGGTTGTTGATATTTTTTTCAATTTTTGATGTTCTCTCATTAACACCTTAAATGCAATTTAAATTTTATATTTTTTATGTTGAATATAGACCTTTTTTAAATCATATTTGAATCATGTTAATTAGATTTATTAATGTACATTTTTATGTCCCCCCCCCCCGAGTATTGTTGTCTTGTATTTTGAATGTTTTTATCTTTTCTTGTACTGTAAGTTGTCTTATCCAATCACTATGTTCGATTGTAATAAAGTTTAATTTGAATTTTAACCCAGGGATTTGGCTTTCATACGTTTGGTTGGCCGTTGCTGGGTGTGCGATATCTGTACTTTTAATAGTACTGATGCTGTTTATGCCAGAAACACCACATTATTGTATCATCAAACATGAGCGGAACAAGGCATTGTCAGTCCTAACGTGGTTACGAGGCGAAGACTATGATATTGAACAGGAATATAAGAATATTGCACTTGATTTACTATCTACAGAATCTGTACGAAAGTATATTGTATGCTTTATATTGATATCATAATTGTGATATTGTATTATGTAGTAATTTGTATTTATAATGTATTTTATTTGATTTCCAAAACGTAAGTGGCTATTAAAACTTTGTTCAAAAGACAAAATATAAATGGCCTAGTTGGTTCAAGAACGTAGCCCATTTGAAATAATGTTCTGAGGATTAGGGCATATTTCATGATAGACACCCAAGCGTTAAGCGAATGGAACAAAATGTAAAAATCTCGTTTTTGTGATAAGATGGAGTGAACCCAGAAAGCTTTTTAAGATAGAGTTGCACTTAGTGTGTTTCTAACCAGTGAAATTGTAAAAGTATAAAATAAGAGGAGACATGACCAATTTACAATCTGACGGTCTTTGTTATGTTACTGCACCATCTTGTCTAGAAAAAATACTGAGACTAAATGTTTAATGAAAATCATTATTATGGTTTTATTTCATCCAGGCTGGTTTTCACTACAGAGAGTTCTTTCAGCCGAATCTGTATATACCGTTAGCGATCACCGTAACTTTGATGATGCTTCAACAGTTCAGTGGTATTGATGCCGTTAACTTCTACACTGTTACTATCTTTCAAAGGTCATCTCTATCAATAAATGACCACGTAGCGGTCATTATCGTAATTGCTGTGCAAGTAGTGGTGCCATTTGTATCAGTTACACTCATCGACAGGTGTGGACGCAAAATTCTTTTAATTGTGGCTGGTAAGATATGAAACTGTTATGTTACTAAACGTTCAACTTTCGAGCTAGTGCAACGATCTGCAAACCAGTATAGGCCTATGTATATACAATTAAGCACTGAACCCACAATCAAACCAATATAGAAAGCTTGGATGTTTTAATTTCAATAGTGGCTGATTTAAGGAATCACAGCCAACACCCCCTTCCAGATATCTATAGGTGGGTGCCATAGTCATAAAATTTCTTACCTCCATCTGTGGATTCCTTGACCCGCCACTGCTCAACAGAGGCAATATATACCAGGATAAAATATTTATAAATTAAGGAAATTATTTTAATAATTACGTATGTAATTACGGTATATTGTATTCTTAGGAGCTGGAATGTGTTTAAGTGCGTCTACATTTGGAATATACTATAAGTTAACAGAGAACGTGAATGTAAATTACACAGAATGGACAGCAACAACCCCACCAACATCATTAGATCTCACATGGTTGTCTTTAACAAGTTTAATTGTGTATACGTCATCGTTTTCGCTTGCTTGGGGTTCTATCCCATTCCTGATTATGTCAGAGATTTTGCCAACTAAAGGAAAGGGACCTGCGAGTGCACTTGCGACAACAGTTAATTGGTTGTCTTTATTTGTAGTAACAAAAACGTTTCTCAAAATGTCGGTGAGTAGGACTACCAGTTAAACAGTTTTTATAACTATTACCATCATCATTATCAACGTCATTACAATCACCAGCGTTCTGATCATATATACATATCCGATATTAGGCATACTTTGGCCACTCGATGATCGCTGGTTTTTTTTTTACAAGATTTGAACCAAGAACCCTGTGATTAGAACACACAACACATCCACTACAAGAAGTTGTTCCTTATGTTTGTGTCTTGTTCATTAAAGGTTGTGATGACGGACGCCGGAGTGTTCTGGTTCTTTGGAGGTGTTTGTTTTCTCAGTACCATTTTTGTTGCTCTCTGTGTTCCTGAAACGAAAGGAAGGTCATTGGAGGAAATAACAAAGTATTTCAACCGCTATAAGCATCGTGGTGATATTTGTAGTTGATAAAATAGTTATTCTGCGGTCGGCGCGGTTCTTGTTTATTTTTTAGGTGATGATGACAACGTCCGATTTGTACATTGTAAGAACAGGTTTAATAATTGTTGTAGCTAATTGTATTTTTTATTGCATTTACTCGTGAAAATAATGATGACGATAATGAGGAAGATGATGATGATGATGATAATAATAATAATGATAATGATAGTGACGATTAAGACCTACGATAATAATAGTGATTTCCTATGATGATAATGATTATTATGATGGTAATGACGATGGTATAGTGGAAACCCCTTTAACAATAATTTTAACAATAATTATAATAAACATATAGACCTAGGAATGTTTTTTTTTTTATCTTTTTCAATTTGTATTGATACTTTATTTTTATGCAATTTCGTTTCAATTTCAATTGTTTTGTGTTACTTTTTATCATTGCAAATGAAGTTGCTTCATTATGTGCTGCTGCTGACTGTCTTTTTTATCCCCGAATAAATAAATATAATTAAAGGAAAAAATAAATATTTCATATGTTGTTTTTGTTTTCATGTTGGTCGTATTATTAATTTCTCTTATCAATTTAGTTGCTCACTGTGGTACAATCAGCATCTAATAAACATTTCAAATATCTCATATTTACAAGTGAACGAAGTGAACATAATTACAATAGTTTAGAGAAAACGAGGAACTACAGATTAAACTTTACCGCTATCAGTAATTTTTGATGTAATGTTTATGTGTTGCTTGTGCTAAATTGCTGGGTAGCTTTATATATAGTTTGGTTGTAAACTTAAATAAATTAACAAGACTCATAAATACTGCAAGCAAGGTAATAATTTATGACATTTATGATATAGACCTTTGAAAAGGTCATGTTCACTAATATAATTAATGACAAAAATCATCCAGCACTAAACAGCAATATTAGATTTGGCCATCCTAGATTAATTATCACACCAAATAACAATACAAATATGGCTTATAAACTCCCTCTTCTTCCCAGTGCTATCTGGTTGACAAATATTAATATGTATTAGGTAATTGTACATCTGTTCTTGTTCATTCATTGTTTATAATATTGTATATACTGTTATAGTATTATAATATTTATAGTGTGTATTTGTTTGTTACTAATACTTAATCAAGGTAGTATAGGTCTCTATGACAAATAGATCTATTTTGAATCTGAGTTGTACGATTCGTCGAGTCCCTCTTGTGAAAGTATATCCCTGCTGCGGTTTAATAACATACCGTAACCATTGCGCGCTTTATATAAGTCGACCTTGTGTAGGTCAATGCATTTTTAGTTCATCTACCTTGTATCAATATCATGGTAATTTAGTGAAAATTATTCATGCATTTCACGGTAATTTTGCATTTAAAACTAGTTTCAGCTAAGTTTGAAACGCTATAGTTAACGCAACTTTGTTTTATATATTAAATCACCAGTCCAAAAAATATTCATTAAATGGTCCTTATATCCACCCTACTACGGATGGTCACCAACGTTTTAACATTTCGTCATTAAAACATTACAAACTATTCTAGAACATTTCATTTAGGTCCATTGACAATGTTATAGGAATATTTAGGTCTAGGTCCTTTGCACTTTAAGTGACCCTCAAATTTACACCCGAATCTTGGCCGCCACTAAAATTCAATAGTTTCTTCCTTGTAACATGATGTTTTTTTCATACAGAATCAAGATATTTCGAAATTATTTTATTGATGATGTGTAGCGGAAACATATATTTCTTTAGGGTGTATACTAAAGTTGTAAGGTCTTCATGAAAACCCATCCAGCTGCAATTAATTTCGAATTACCTGTGAACGAGCGTCCGGACCAGTCCAAGTTTGTAATTAAATGAACAAAAACTAAAATAATTAGTAAGGAGCCCAGTAAACGTTTTTATTTATTTTTTGTTTTTGTTTTTTTCGCAAAACGGAAGTAGATACAACCATGTTGTGATTTTGAAATGAGAACATCCAGGAAAGAAAGTTTTTCTTCAGCCTGTAATATCTAAACCTAATGTTAGGGTGACGTGAATTAAGATATTCAAAAAATATAGGAACACCATCCTCATTGCTGAATAAACAGCAAATATCATCAACATGATATTAACATATCGTCTGTAAAATAAAACAGAAAGAATCCTGATATTGTTGTTTACAACTTTGATATGGTTGAATTGCGTATAGATTGTCGTGTCACAAGCTTCAATTCGTATAAGATTGCCTATATGGAATCTCTGTACACCGGATAACAGTGGGGTCTGTCGAAACATGTTTCCTGTCTCTTATACACATCTAGATGTGTATAAGAGACAGATATATATATGTATGTGTGTGTGTGTATATGTATGTATAACGTCGTTTAAGTTTCACCTACTTTTGCCTTAAGGTACTGTTTTTAACCCTCTTCATTGTTAAGGTTTCCACTTATGGATGGATCTAAACTGTTAATGTTTGGGAAGTTGAAGAGGCAATGAATGAGGATGTTCCTTGACGGTCATTATTTTTTCTAAAGGACCTCGTTGTAGATAATGTTTTGCCTGAGTGTTTTTGCCGAATAGTCCTTGTGAGGAATTATCCATTTTTAAAATAATACATTGGAGTACAGTACCCTCTTACATGTGAAAATGCAACGTATAAGTTAGGCATGAGGTAGGGCCTAACTATTTTTTATTATGATTGAAATACAGGTATACAGGTTTCTATTTTCTCTATGCTATAACTAACAAAATAGTGCGTGGGTAATGTTCCGATGGATTTACGTAAATTTGAGGTGTTGATTGGTGGAGGTGACTTGACTCTAAACTTCAGCTACCTTAACATAACCTCATGAACAATGTATAGCCTTTTATTAGAAAACAGTAGGTGTGGGTCGTTTCGCCCTCGGATGTTGAAGACTATGTCGTCAAAACGGCACTTTTTTATCCCAAAGAGTAGGTCTAAAATAGTGTAAAATTTCATTTCAAAACCTAATTTCTCAAACTCATCACGTTCGTTGATAGTTTATCTCTAGAATATCCAATTATCTATGAATAACAACTATAGTTTTATATAAAAATCGTCCCAGTTTAATTAACGCGGTAGGCCTATCTTTTTACGGTGTTTGATGTCGCTTGTGTTTTTGCAGTGGCAGATCTAGGAATTTGAAATAGAGAAATAGGGCCTAGCTAGCTATAATTAATAGGCGAAATTATTACTATTATGCCTACCCATATCATGCTTTGTCCCCAGGCGTATATGCCTTGTATTTTTAACTGACCGATTTCTTAAACATCCGGGATTCATTGCTGAGCCATAAGACCATTTATTTTTATATTCAGTATTTAATGAAATGGGTACTCCGTTATTTAGGACAGCTGGCAGCACTTGCTGTAGAGCATCCAGCTCAGTCTGGAACATGCCTATTTATCGACTCGTATCAGCACCGAGGCGATCAGTGTTTATTTCGCCTCGGTGCTGATACGAGTCGATAAATAGGTATTCATCGCGGTCTTGTATGCACGATATTTTGTAGATGAAAGTACGGTACTCATTTTGGGTAGTTTTTGGCTTTTTGTATTTTCGTTGCCGTGCTCGTGACTCCCCGAGTATGAAAGTGAGCACAATTCTGCCGGCCAGCGGTTTCAGAAGAGATAGGTGAAGTTACGCCGAGGCGTTAACAGAATTAATATATAGATAGATATAGCCGTATAGATTATTCGCAGTCATGCGTTCAACTTTGAGAAGAGTAGATTTTTCTTTAATGTTTTGATTTCAATATGAGAAAGAAGCAAATAAATGTTATTTTTGACTTGATATGACTAGATTATTAATTATGAACAGGATTCTGTTTTACGGAAATATGAGTTAATTGATGGATTTCAAGGATGAGAAGCAGTTCGTACATGTGGACATTGAGGAATCAGTAAGTAAACTGCTAACCAATTGAGGTGCATTTGTAATCTGGGGTATTGTGAGTGTGTATCTGGGTGTTGGTGATGATTCTAGCCAGGGAACAGTGTGTAATTTCACTGTTGCCTGATTTTAGTAGTATATAGTGTTTCAAGCACTGATGAAGATTAATCGCATTATGGAAGTCCAATCAAGTCCGTCAAGAAAATGTGTTTCCTTGCCTTAGATCGTGGTATATATTTTCGTATGGCTAATCTAAATCTTTGTCGACACTATCCATTGTTTGTGTCAAATATCTATGATATGTCCATATTTGGGTGTAATATGACATCATCATGGCAATATAGGCACATCACGTACATTTATCACATAATGTTTGATAGTGTGGATAGAGCGTTAAATGACATGAATTGCACGGCAAACATTAGCAAGATATTGCTTAAGGATGAATAGGTGTTATCAAAGGTGACGCTGATATGTAGTGATTTTACTGTTTAAACAGCACTTGAACGGCGAGAGGTTGGGGGTCTGTACCCAGTAGACATACTGACGTTGGTTCGACGTCGAAATCAGGTTGGGACGTTGATCAACCTTAATCCAACGTCTATTCAACGTCGATCCACACACGTCGATTCAACGTCGTGATGTCAACGTTGATTCAACGTTGTAATGTGGTCAGTGTCAAAAAACCAACGTTGCATCGACGTTGAAATTGGGTCAGTCTATTCAACAACGAAAATTCAACGTCTTGTCAACGTCGATTCTCATCGTCGATACAACGTCGTGATGTAACGTTGGTTCCACGTTTTGCACTGACGTTGAATCAACGTTAAAATTAGGTCAGTCGATTCATCAACCGGAATTCAACGTCTATTCAACGTCGATTCACGGTGTAGATGCAACGTCGCAAATTCACGTTGATTCAACGTCGAACAGTTGACGTTTAATCGACGTTGAAACTATGTCAGTCACTGAACAACCAAAATTCGACGTCGTTTCAACGTCGATTCTCATCGTCGATACAACGTCGTAATGTGACGTTGGTTCTACGTTTTACACGGACGTTGAATCGATGTTGAAATTAGGTCAGTCGATTCAACAACCGGAATTCAACGTCGTGATGTGAGTTTGGTTCCACATTTTACACTGACGTTGAATCAACGTTAAAACTAGATCAGTCGATTAACAACCGGAATTCAACGTCTATTCAACGTCGATTCTGTTCGTCGATACAACGTCGCTATATGGCGTTGTTTCAACGTTGAATACTGACGTTGAATCGACGTTGAAACTATGTCAGTCACTAAACAACATAAATTCAACTCCTATTAAACGTCGATTCTCGTTGATACAATGTAGTGATGTGACCTTGGTTCCACGTTATACACTGAGACGTTGAATCAACGTTAAAATTAGGTCAGTCGATTCATCAATCGGAATTTAACGTCTATTCAACGCGATTCTGTTCGTCAATACAACGTCGCAATGTGGCGTTGTTTCAACGTTGAATACTGACGTTGAAACTATGTCAGTCACTAATCAACCTAAATTCAACTTCTATTCAACGTTGATTCTCGTCGTTGATTCAACGTCGTAATGTGATGTTGGTTCCACGTTTTATACTGACGTTGAATCAACGTTGAAATTAGGTCAGTCGATACAACACCTGGAATTCAACGTCGATTCTCGTCGTTGATACAACGTCATGATGTGACGTTGGTTCCACGTTTTACATTGACGTTAAATCAACGTTAAAATTAGATCAGTCGATTCTGTTCGTCGATCCAGCGTACAATGTGGCGTTGATTCAATGTTGAACGCTGACATTGAATCGACGTTGAAACTATGTCAGTCACTAAACAACCTACGTTTAACTCCTATTCAACGTCGATTCTCGTCGATGATACAACGTCGTGATATGACGTTGGTTTCACGTTTTACACTGACGTTGAAACGTTAAAATTAGGTCAGTCGATTTAACAACCAGAATTCAACGTCTATTCAACGTCGATTCTGTTCGTCGACGATACAACATCGCAATGTGGCGTTGATTCAACATTGAACACTGACGTTGAATCGACGTTGAAACTATGTCAGTCACTAAACAACATAAATTCAACTAATATCTAACGTCGATTCTTGTCGTTGATACGACATCGTGATATGACGTTGTTTCAACGTTGTACACTGAGGTTGATTCGACGTTGAGATTAGGTCTTCTTGATTGAACAACCTAAATTCAACGTCCATTCTCGATGAAGATACAACGTTACAATATGGCGTTGATTCAACGTTGAACACTTAGGTTAAATCGACGTTGAAACCATGTCAGTCATTGAACAACCTAAATTCAACTCCTGTTCAACGTCGTTGATACAACGTCGTGATATGACGTTGGTTCAACGTTGTACACTGAAGTTGACTCGTAGTACAAGAAAAGTAGCGTACAATTTAGTGAAAGGTTGAAAAAATTGCAACACAATTTATTTTACTACAGTGCATTTCTATAAATAGGTCCATTAGGGTCAATCAAGGTCATTTTATGTTTAATACTTTGTGATATCCTATCGTTAGCAGTCATGTTTTAATGTAAATATATGATACTTAAGCTCGCAGAATTCGATTATTTTGATAAGAATTTATTATGGCAGGCATTTTAAGACCATTCGATTTCATTAGGTCAAGGTCATTTAGCAGCCATCTTGAATTTCTAGTTAACCACCATGTAAAGCCTATATTAATGTTAAGAATTTTTATGTTTAATGTGTACTGTACATAGTAAACAATACCATTGTATCATTTCTGACATGGTCAGGAGATTATAAATCATAAATAGGTCATTTAAGGTCATTCAATTATATATAAGGGCAAAAATATAGCATTCTTTCCTTGGTTTTGTTGCTTGCTGAATTATACCCAACCACCGTAAGCACAACATTGTTATATAGGAAAATATTTTTTAAAAATATTTTATATACTAGCTAAAAAAGCAATTATAACAGCTCCTTCTACAGTATTTTTATGTATATATA